GGAGCCCGACGCGGGGCTCGAACTCACGGACCGCGAGATCGGGACCTGGCTGAAGTCGGACGCTTAACCGACTGCGCCACCCAGGTGCCCCAATCCTAGCAAATTTCTATAAAAGTTCCACTCGAAGGAAGTTTTCATTTTATAGCAAAGCACTATGGGGATACATAGATGTAAGAGACAAAAGCCTGGTCTTTGAGATGTGGTATAGCCTCACAGGGTGGGGTGGGAAAGGGTAAGATTTGAATTTTGAAAATAATTCAGATGAATTCTAGAATATGCAAGATGCTAATAAACTATTAACCAGTATTTGCATACTGTGTTATAGTTTACATAGTGCTCTTCACCTCCATATCTCACGTCTGATAGATGTGATGAGTGAAATACTTCTTGAAAGACAGCATTCGAGTGAGGGGTGGAAGAATTGCAGGGGTTTATCAGAATAGTATCTGGGGGCTGGGGAATGACCCGCAGAAGATGTTTTCGGTGAGGCCTGAGTGGGTCCATTTTGCTGGAGCCCCTGCATCTGGTCAAGAGCAGTGGGTGGTGAGGTTGGAAAGGTAGCAGAGGCCAAACCCCAGGCCTTGAATGGCGGTCGCTCCCTCTGCAAGACAAAGGGGCGGCTGCATTTCTTTGCGTTGTATTCAGAGCCTTTTTTCTTCTCCTGGACTTCGGGCTGCTTTTTGTACGAGAGCACATTTTCATTTCTTTTTTCTGTGACTAAATCACACTTCCCAGGGACACCAGCAGTTTCTGATTGCAACTGTAACAGCCTGAATACCAGCTGGGATTTTTGTATTAAGCAGCTCTGTGGGGCTCACCAGACCAGTAGAAAATTGAAATTCTAGCTCTAAAAAGCAGTTTCAACAAATACTTATTATTTTGTTCTTGACATTTTTACTGCCTCAGTTGTCAGCTAATAGATCAGAAGTGATTAGACTGCTAGGAGCTGTTTTCAGTTATGGGCCTGCATGTGAGTTAGGGCATGCTACCCTGTTTCAACCCCTTCTCTACCCTGTGCCTTTAAAAGCTGCCCTTATTTTTTTAGGCTGATGTGGTCATCAAGTTCCCTGAAGAAGATGCTCCATCGACTGTCCTGTCCAAGAACCTTTTCACCCCCAAACAGGAAATTCAGGTATAAGGAGCCTAAGGGCTCTCCCACTAAACATGGAGGAGATACGTGAAATGGGCACAACGAGAGGGGGCAGCGAATGCCTGAACTGTGGCTCTGGGATCTCCTTTAACCTGTTTACACAATATCTTATAGTTTTGGCTTCACCAAACTGCAGATTAAACGGGACAAATATCAGCGCCAACCTAGAACTTGAAAAAACAGGCTCAAAGAGCCCAGTGACCAGCTCCCTGAAAGCAGATAGTTGGACACAAAATCAGAGTCTGTTTTTCCTAAACATTCAGGAGGCTCAGCCTTCAGTTGACAGCTACAGGACCGATGGGTTTGGCATTCTTCCTCTCTGCTCCTGCAGAAATCAGGGCTATTGGGGCCTATAGGTGGAAAACTCAACTGGGTGGGAGCATAGGGCTTTCCTCCCCCAGGCAATCCTCTCTCCAGGGATTCATCTTCCATGCACACAGTTAGCAGTCTCTGCCCAGCTCAGCTCCACAGGACTGTTGTGAGAATCAAAATAAGTAACTGGTCAAGGAAGAAAGGCTTTGAAAAGTCTCTAAAACATTTTACAAAATAAACATGAACAAAATAAGTATAGTAATTGTTAAGCAGTTTGAGCCATTGGTTAAGGAGACTGAGGTGGACGCACTCAGTGGACTATTTTGCAGTCCCAAGAAATGATCATACTGTAGTAATGTGGAAACTATTCACACCACATCTGAATGAATGTCGAGATGTTCCAAGCAGACTGCTTACTCTTGTTTCACTATTTAAAAAAAGGACAAGGGTCCAAAGGGTGTAAGTAGTAGGATTCTTCTTTGAAATCCTCCTAATGTTGATACAGCATTGTTTAAGATTGTAAAATGCAGTTAAATAGAAGGTACAACTGCGAGGATGAAGGGTGCCGACTGATCTGCCATAGACGGTGTTAGAGATCCCTTAATGGTAGTGGCAGCAAAGAGGAACCGAGGTGAAAATTTGGGAACAGGACTCCCAGGTGGTGTTGCCTCATCCTGGAGCTGGGTTGGCTGGACATTGGCAAGGAAAGACAGACATGAGTCTGTGCATTGGAAGAAAGACTGAAAAGAAGTTAAATTTGCACATGTTAGAGCTTACAAAGCACAGTCAGATGCCCTATTGCATTTGGTCTTTACAGCCACCTTGCACACCTAATAGGATGGTCATTGCCCTCCCATCCCCGATTTTCCAGTTAGAAACTGAGGCAAAAAGTTGGTAAAGCAACTTGCCCCTCTACTTGGGCCCAAATAGAAGTCTTCTGGCCCCCTAGTCCATCACTGCCCCTGCTGGGTGACACTGTCTAGATGAGCCTCCCGAAGATCTTCATACAGAGGTTCTCAGAACAAAGCAAAACAAAGAAATACCAGAGCAGTGCTTGCCCAGCTTTCTGGTTCCAATTCTGGAAGTCAGGCAGAACAAGGAAGAGAGAAGGTTCATTTAGGGCTTCCTTAGAGCCATGGGCTGGATGCAGAAGGGGTGAGTTATGGTTGGAACCATCAGTAGTGAAGCTCTTTTACAGTGAGTGAGGTTACCACCAGTTAGCTAACTTAAGTGGGGCAGTAATATATGATAGTGCCACCCTAGGAACCCAGAAGCATTATGAAAGCCAGAGTCCTGCCTTGGATATATCATCCAAACCATCCATATACCTGGGCACCCTCTCTGACACTAAGCAAAATGCCACTGAATGGGTTGCATTTTCTAACCTCTAAATGGCAGTGAGTCTTTGCGAGAAAAAGAGGGTTGCCCAAGTAGTGAGCTGGGACTGGTGTCTTTGGAAAGAGGCCTCTGGGACTAGAAGCCAGCATTGAGAAGAGGCAGAAGCCCAGTGTCCTCTCACTTCCAGGAGGGTTTAGCCTCTGGGAAGCATTTCTTCTTCTTGACTGTCATTGGCATTTTGGTTCCTGGTATACATGGCAGCCCCTGCGGGGAAGGGCACATTCTTAAATACTCTTGGTATGTCCTCTTTTGGCAGCACCTGTTCCGAGAGCCTGAGAAGAGGCCCCCCACCGTGGTGTCCAATACGTTCACAGCCCTGATCCTCTCGCCCTTGCTCCTGCTCTTTGCTCTGGTGAGTAGCTGTAATTAGCATGGGCAGCGTGTGTCTGGCGCCAGACTCAGCAGATGTAGCTGTTCTAAAGGAGGCTTTGTGCTCTGGCCTCCGCACAGCTCTGAAGGGGTCCAGCAGCTGTGACCTGAACCGATGGTCAAAAAATTTTAGAATAACTGAAATTCCCCACTGTGGGGAACAGCCAACTGATCCATAAACGAGAGGCATGAGAAAGTACCTTATAGCCACTAAAAAATGATAAAAGTGTATGGACTGGGATAGTCTGCAGGAGTGTTCAGATGAGGTCAAGTGTGAAGAAGGCAAGGCCCAATGCTGATAGCTATATAAAAAGTGAGTACAGAGGGACACCTGGGTGGCTCAGTCGGTTTAGCGTCTGACTCTTGGTTTCAGCTCAGGTCCACACAGTTCATGATATCGAACTCTGCGTTGTGTGTTGGGCTCTGCGCTGATAGCTCGGAGCCCGCTTGGGATTCTCTCTCTCTCCCCTGCTGTTTCTCTCTCTCTCTCAATAAACAAGTAAATAAATAAATTAAATAAATAAATAAATAAATAAATAAATAAATAAATAAATTTTTTTTTGAAAAGATAACAACAGAGAACAGAGGCTGTGCATTTCAGTGAACCTAAAACCATAAACAACCCAAAACCCTCATAAAAGCAAGTGTTAAATAAATTATGGTACATCCATATGATGGAATAATATGCACTTTATTAAAAGAATATATAGATTTATATGCTGGCATTGACAAGATTGCCAAGATGTACTGGGTGAAGAAGGCCAGGGGTAGAAGAGTATGTTTAGTATGGTCCTCTTTGTTAAAACCTTGAAAAGGCATTATCTGTTAGTGTTGGTCACCTCTAAGGAGAGGACCTTTTAGGGAGTATAAAGGAAGGAAATTTTTATACTTCAGTGTACTGTTTGAATTTTTTTTTAATAATTTTCTTTTGGTCTCTCTTTACAAATTATAAATATAAGAAGCATATCCTCGAAGTTCAGAGAATTTTGATAACTGTATGGAAAACTCATTAGATCTTACTTCTGGAAAGTTAGCTGCCTGTGTTTCTAATTTATTCATTGATTTTAGTAAAGGAATTATTGGTCAGTCTAAATCTGGAAGGCATGGCACAGTCTTTCAGAAACCAGACTGAGGGTATGGGCACCTGTTCTCATGAGTGATCAGAATTCCAAAAGGCATGGAACCCACAGCAGGAGCGTGCACCCTACCGGCTGCCAAGGGTCTTATCTTACCAGTACTTAGAGGAATTAGCCTGAGTGCCAGTTACTTCATCATAAATGCGGTCTGTGACCTTTCAGCTTTGTGGTTTCACCTGCTTTAAAATAGAAGAGTTTGCAGTCATTAAAAAGGATGTTCAGGTTTGAGTTACTCGAGCACATTTGAGAGCAGGTGTAGGAATGCCTTCCTAAAGAGAAAAGGGAACAATTTTTTTCCTGAGGACTTATAATAGGATGGCTGTCACTTGGAAAAATTTCCTGTCCTTCAAGTATACATGAACTTTTAAGCCCTTGGGGCTGTTCATTGGATTAGCATTGACGTAGCATGTGTTGCCTTCCCTTTCAAGTTCTAATGTCTTTTTAATTTATCTCTCCCCATCGTTCAGTGGATCCGGATTGGTGCCAATGTCTCCAACTTCACTTTTGCTCCAAGCACGATCATCTTTCACCTGGGACATGCTGGTAAGCACTCTAGGCTGCTAATTCCATTTAGCTTCCTCTGACATTTTGCCTGCCCATGCAAAAGCCCTGTTAAGTAGACCCACAACCTATTAACTATAATGACTTAATAGCATAACATTTCCCTCTTCCTCCTGGCCTTTTAGGACAGTTAATATGATGATAAACCTGTTTGGTCCATCAGCGTAGAACAGCTGTCATTATATTGGGTTTCATTGTGCTAGGCTGCTGTTGGCTGGCCATTTACCCATACTTAATAGCCCTGTTCATTTCCAGAGATTACTCACTTGCCGTAGCTTTACATTGAGCCATCTTCCTGGATGAAGAGCATTAATGCAGTTTCCAAAGGTTATCTTTCCCCACCGTATCGATCTTCACGTTTGTTGGCGGCTGGGTCTGGACAGTAATAGAAAACAGTTTCTTCCACAGTTGGCCACACTGTCCCGTGTTATTCTCTTGAGAACTTAGGACCTAAACATAACAAGACGGTAAATTCACAAACCAGCTAAGCGTTTGAGACGTTTGACCCTGTTGGATCTGTGGCGCCTTGCATTTCACTGAGATTTCAGTATTCTCTGATTTCGTTGACGCTTTGGGGAGTCACCCTCTGTGCATCCATAGTGTGTGATTCTGTAGCGGTCCACAGATGAATCAGTTAAAATTCTAGGCAAATGTGTGTCTGTGTTTTTCTCAGGAAAGAGGGAGTTTGTAACTTTGATCAGATTCTCACAGTGGTCCGTGACCTCAGAAACAGTTAAGAACCCCTGCCGTAGTTCATCCGTCATCTTTCTGGGCAAAATTGACAGGATGACCTTTCTCACCAGCCTAGTTACTGGGTTTGATGATAGCCCTCCTGAGTGAAGCTGAGACTGGAACCTGAATATAAATTTGTTTAGAGCCATGACTTTTCTTGCCAGAGTGTTTTTTGTGCACATTCCCTCATTTGATTTTCATCACAGCTGTGATGTGGGTGCCCAGGGCAGGAGTTAGGATCCTCCCTGTTCAACAAGTGAGAGAATGTAGGCTCAGAGAAATGGAAGCGGCTAGGCAAGGAAGAGCCTGGACCAGAACCCAGGGTTCCCAGTGCCCAGGCCTGAGCCCTTTTCATTAAACCTTCTTCCTCAGTGCTTCCTGCTTCCTTCCTACTCACACTGGCAAAATCCCCTTAATAATCTTTTTTTTAATAGAAAGGAAATTATTCATTTATATAACCCTGCATGCTTTCATTCAGAATTTAAAAAATAAAATGAATGCCAAATATAGTATCATAGTAATGCTTTAAAAAAAACCCAACAAAAATAAAAAACCTACATTAGAGGAAATAGATGTGAGTTGGAACATGGAACCGGATAGTTAAGGTAGCTGACATCTGATTTTTACCTCTGAATTTCTCAGTAGCCAAGGTAAGTATATTGAGTTAATTTTCTGGCACCAGATAAAAGGAATAAAATGAGCTGGTCTAGAAATAGAGACCTCTTCAGAGTCCAGCAGTTTAATTGGCTGTCATGACATCTGTTCCTGTAGCCATGCTGGGGCTCATGTATGTCTACTGGACTCAGCTCAACATGTTCCAGACCCTGAAGTACCTGGCCATCTTGGGCAGCGTGACGTTCCTGGCTGGCAATCGGATGCTGGCCCAGCAGGCAATCAAGAGGTAAGGCTGGGGATGGGCCAGGGACTCAGAGTGGGATTAGAAATATTTTTGTCAGCTCTGCTCACCCAGCTCTTTGAACAAGGGTATGTGGCAGAACGATTCGTATCCTTAGGGGCAAGTGTGACACCTTAATCCAGCCTTTTAAGTCCGAAAGGGGCCTTGGTGATCAGTTTTAAATGTATTAAAACCACAGTGATTTATGCCCTGACACATTAGAACAAGAGAAGAAAATAATTGCTTTATGAAGATTAAAATGGATTAGAACATGTGCGGCAGAAGATCGTTGTTAATGTGCTGGCTGTATAAAAATGTTCTCTACTCGCCACGGGGAATCCTATTCTGTCCTCCTCCCATGCCCCAGAGCTAATCCTCTATAACCCCTGGTAGACTCACAGAGCGTTTCCTCCTAAGTGTGAGGTCCACGTTCTTCCCATCCCATCCCACCCCCACCCCCAACTGCCACAGGTTTTAAGAAGCCCCTAACAGGGAGCCCTGCTCGGTAGCCTGTACCACGTCCCTGAGAACCAGACAACCTTAGGTTCACACAAACGGTCAGATCTCAGCACGGCAGCAGCTTGCTGGCAGCTTGATTTTCGAACCTGGATTAGAAGCAAATTTAAATGTCACATAGGTGTTTCTCATTGATTTGACTTTATTAGAACTTGGGTGATTTGAGCCACGGAAAGGTCGGTAAGAAAAGGTCAGAACTGCTTTCACCTTTGGAAGTTAACATTTTCAGATGTGCCCTGCTTTCTCCTCTCCAGGACTTTTGCTGTAAGAATGTAACTCAATAGTGTGCCCTCCAACATGGCTGCCAATTAAGTTGGGCAGATCAGAGAGGCTTTCTCAGAGACCATTAGTAGGCGGGAGAGCCACCTGTCTCATCCCTGCCTGAGTCGCCATTGTGCACTGAGTGCCTCGCCTCGTGGAGACCTGGCCCCGAGGTGCTCCCTCACTTGCCTGTAGTGATCCACGTTCCACCAGAGCTTCCCTTAGCACCGGCAGTGGCAGCTGGTTCATTTCTCTGCCCTTCCAGGAGCCTTAACTTGGCAGCTATGCATCGCATCTGAGAAAGAGCCAGGGACTCAGCTGTTTTTTCTAAGCAGAGTCCTGTTCCCTTGCAGCAGCCAGTCCAGGCCCCAGGGAGCCAAAAGGCTGTGCTCTGTTGAGTTCTCTCTTTTCTGGAAGTTGCCCACACAAGATGTACAAATCAGGGGAGTAGTGGACTGGAAACCGTTTGATTTAGATCCTGTTTAGCAGGAGTTCCTAATCTGAAATCCTAAAATTGTGTACATTTTCTGGGGAGAGAGACCATGGTCCTCATCCCCTCTCCAGCATGTGTGCACATGGACATGCACGCACCCTCATACGGAAAGTTCTGCTGTGAGTCCTAGAACAAACTCTGCCTCTGGGGGAATCACAGACCCTAATGGAAGCTCTGGTTGGGTGTTTGCCATTTCTTTTCTCAAGCTTATTTCTCTTCCCACTGTCCTTTCTTGATTCTCAAACCCTCTTTCCTTTGGCAGGATCGCTGCAGAGCAGAGCAGTAGATTGGCAAAATATAGGACACTACGGTAAAGATGAAGGGTGGACTCATCCCAGAAGCAGGGCCCCTTTCCCATCTTGCCCACCTCATGCATGTCAGTTTTTTATCTGATGTTCAGCCCACTCGTTCCTCCCCACCTTCCCCAAGCCAAAGCTGAATTCTGGGGCCATTTTTGAACTTAGTGGACCAGGGCAAAAAACCAAAACTCCCTGAGTGAGCCCAACTGATAGGGTAATTTGACCTGGCTTTGGCTGCATTAGACTCCATCCTCCCTTATGCCCATGGGGTACTTGATAGACAGCAGCCCCTTTCTCGATGAAGAAAGCAGAGTTGAAGATAAGACAGATGCAACCTTGGACTTCTTGAAAGGGGACCCCGTTCAGAACATCTCAATTCATTAAATGATGGTCCCATGGCAAATCCTGGCACACCTTGTCACTGTTTCTAGGCCTTTTTGTAACACTGATCTTTGGTTGGGCCAAACAGTGTGGTTTGGTGAGATTCTCTGTTACGAAGGACCAATGGCCATAGCTCAAAGCCAGCATCAGAACCCCGGTTTCTAGAACTCAGGGTGTAGTTCAGGGCTGATCCCTGTGTGACTAAAATGTCATTTTCCTAGGTATTAATCCTAGGATGAGGATGGAGGTGAAAGCAAGGTGAAGGGAGGGAAGGAGAGAGAGTATGCGCTTCATTGATCAGTTCCTCTAGACTAGGGATGAGGAAAAGTTCTCTGGAAAGATAGTATTTTAGGCTTTGCAGACCATATGGTCTCCGTCACAGCTACTCAACTCTGTCACTATAATGTGGAAGCAGCCGTAGACTAAACAAATGAGCATGGCTGTGTTCCAATAAAACTTTATTTACAAAAACAGGTGGTGGGCTGGATTTGGCCCATGGGGCATCATTTGCTGACACCTGTACTAGGCCAACATATAGAGAAGGAAAGTATTTGAATTTTCAAGTCATGTTCCCTGGTCCCTTGCCTTGGAAGTGGCTTCCCTGCCAAGGCAGCAGAACCATCTAATTTTTAATCCTCTGCAGATCAGGGAGATCAACAAAAGCATGGAATGTAGAGCCTTTTCACTGATGTGTGAGCATAAGCTGGCACATCTAATCCTCAACACAAAGACTGCGTTTGTCCTGGTTTTGTTGTTTTGGGTTTAATTGAGGTACAATTTATATCCAGTAAAAGTTGCCCTTTTTGAGTACAATCTGAATATTGACAAATTACACAGTCGTGTAAATAGCACCTCAGTCAAGGTATAGACTATTTCTACACTCCAGAAAGTTCCCCTGTGTAGTCAGTCCCTTGTGTCCTCCCCCATTCCCTAACATACCCAGTTGATTTTGTCCTGCATTAGAGTTGTTCTGAGATTTTACTTTCAGAACTAGTCCTTTCTGCTAAATATTGAGCTCTTTAATTCTTCAAAATAACTCTGGATTGATTTTTTTTTTTCTTGCTATTTAGATAGTCTACTTTCATGCTGCTACTACCCCCAAATCACACTGCTTGAGAGAGAGGAAAGATGCTTGATCATGTGGACGTTTGGGACTTCAGAGGTCGGGGCCTAGTATTTTAAAGGAAAGTCTGTGGTAGCTAAGTGCTTTTGATCTGAGGACAGACATCGATTTGATGAGGCACAATAGAGGCTGTACCTTCTTAGCCAAGACGGAGGCTGGTGGGCCGCTGCCCTTTCAGCTCCTCCTGTTTCATACTCACGCTCTCCTCTCCTCATGGTCGTTCCGGAGCACACATGTTTTAGTGCACCTGGGAACCTCTGCATGTTGGCAGGGGATTAGGGGCACTCACTTCAGCCTTCAGGATTAGTTCTGTGCCTGTGTGTGTGTCCCCTGGAACTGTGGATTAATCGGTTTGGAGCCTACCATTCTGCAAGACTGCATCGCCATTGCGTCAGCCCTCACCACTGGGTAGAACTGCCCGCTAAGGACGGCGTGCGTGTCGGCGCGGTGCCTCTGCCTGCCGGAGCTGCCCGAAACACCTGTTTGCTGCTTCACCCTCCTACTTGGACAGCAGCTATCTAGATTGTCATTTCCGTTCTCATGTTTCCCCTCAGTTCGTAGAGTCGAGGGTAGGGCAGCCATGGGGAAAGAAGGAATAAGAGATAGAGAGGTTTTTGTCTCCTCTTAGAGTTTTTCTGTGAGCTGAGTTCCATTTTTGAGAATCGTTCTTAGGTTTAGACACTGAGGCTGACCATTGGCAAGAACACGACTGGAGACCTGCATGGCAGGAGTATGGTGCGGGTTTCTGTCCTGAGTGGCCGGAATGTCATTGTCCAAGCTACGTGAGGGCCCGTGCTGGTTGGCGGACCCGGAGCGTGGGAAATTGAAGATGGACATTCTTTAGGCTTTCCTTTTTTCTTCCCCTAGTTGAAATTTACACTGTCTTTCTGGCCTTGCACTGTGAGAGGTGTGCCTGGAATTACCTCATGTCAGAGCTCCACATGCCACTTTCTTTCCTGTCGTCAGGTTTGCGCTGTTGTCCGTATTTACGTTATCATCAGCTTTTGCTGGAACTAGTGGTCTCACAATCTCTTGTGAAATGAGATGGGGGATAAATAAATACAATTAATAGATTAATGATTATTCCTATATAAATAGGATCTTAAAACGGCAGAGAACCTTGGGTCTCTCTGTTGTCACCAGTTAGGAACTGTAACAGCGAACTGAAACCTTCAGTAATTTGGTGTTTGTCTCCATTTTCTTTCAGAACAGCACATTAGTGCCAGAAGAAGGAAAGAAATTTTGCAAGCTGAGATGAATATCAAGAAAAGGAGTCAAGAACAATTCACAGTTCGTAAAGAGGAATGAAGAAACTTTATTTAAACAAACAAAAGTCAGAATTGTGGTTGTACGTTTGCTTGTTTTTCTATTTCCCCGACACAGAGCGCACACCTGTGAGCCCAGATATCCTGTTTCTTTGGCATGGCGCCTTAGCAAGAGGCTGTGAATATTCCTAACTTAGCCAGATGTTGCATTTGAAAAGTTGAAATTTGTAATTAATCTGTTTTGGAATAAAGAGAATAACAGGAACAACGGCCCGATTGAGAGTTTGTTCTAGTACTTTTGGGCTGGTGGGATCCCCGGGGTACATAACATGAGGACTTAGTTGGGAAGTATTGTGGACAAGGTGGCCAGGGTGTTTCTCCCAGGCCTTTTTACTTTAGTCCTTTTTGCCTCTTTCCTGATAGGACTGAGAATTGCCTGGAAAAGTGGGCATTTTTTCTTCTCCAGTAGTGGGCACCATCTGTCTGCAAAGGAGTCCTGTTGATATCTGAAGGCCCCTCTGCTTTTGCCTTCAAAGTATGGGCTTGGCATGCAGTGGGGAAGGGGAGGAATTGTCTTAAAAGGAGGCGGGCCACATGAGTATTCTTAGGCTCTTACAGGGACACACATATCTCAAGGATGTCCCTTTTGAAGTTGTGTCCAGGACCACCATTACCTGGAGGTTATATACTATCACATAGAGAAGAAATATTGAATAATATGGTTAAGTGTATAGACTTCAGTGTTAAGCAAACCTGCTGTCACCACTTGTTAGGGTGAGGGACGTTGGGCCAGTGGCTTAAGTTTTCTAAGCCTCCTTTTCTTCTGTAGAAGAGAGATAATGACTGTACTTACGTCATATGACTGAAGGAGTTTCCTGCATCTAAAGTGCTTGGCTCAGCTCTTGGCTCCTTCCCCAATTAGCTCCTAGCTACATACTTTCGCTCATCACCTCTGATTCTATTAATTGAAACATCATAAATACATTTAGATTACTTTTGAAAAGCAGGTAATCCTCATGGTATTTATTGAATTTGGGAGGCAGAAATGATTTGAATCAGATTGCATTCCAGTGCAAGCTGGATTTCACTACAGTGAGGAAATTGGGATTTTTGGTTGGGGAAAAGAGATTCTGGAACTTTGGACTACTTCTGAATGGGATTCTACAGGTGAGAGAGGGTGATGTGGGCAATTACAGGGTTGCTTCCAAGGTGGGAAGAAGGCCTCACCTTTCCCAGAGGCTGCAACCAGAGGTGGCCCATTGATAGGTTTTATTTGACCCATATGTTTTCTCAAAAACTGAATAAGCTGCTAACTTAACTGAGAAAGTAATAAAAATACAGGTTTTGGGTGCTGGATATTTTTTTTTTTTTCATTTTTTATTTTTGTTTTTAGAGAGGGAGAGCATGTAAGTGAGGGAGAGGGACGGGGGGTGGGGGGGAGCAGGGAATTCAAAGCAGGCTCCATGCTCAGAACAGAACCCCACACGAGGGCTCAATCCCATGACCCTGGGATCAGGACCTGAGCCGAAATCAAGAGTCAGACCCTCAACTGACTGAGCCACCCAGGCTCCCTGGGTTTTCGATTCTCTTAAAAAAGAAAATCTGAGCCTGTGACATTGGGCCTGATTGCTACATGGCAACAATCAGCTGGAGCCGAGCAGCAGCAACTCCCTGTCGGTGGGGCCTGCTCTTTCCAGCTTGCCGGAGCTCCGTCCCCACAGGTGTCTGTGCCTGTCACCACAGCACGGCGCCTCTGCTGTTCCGCCTGCCAATTTCACCTGCCTGGTTCCTGTCGACCATGACTTTGGAAGCCTTCTTTGCTTTTAAGTGTTTGTTTCTTATCCCACTCTGTGGGGAAAGGGTAATATTGGGCTCTAGAGTGGCTCCTAGTGACCCTACTTAGGCTGGCACCACACCAGCTCCGTGGTGGGGGAGGGATGACAGCAGGGGGAGCCCACCCAGCTGGGACTTACACCTAGAACCAGGTGGGTACCGTTCTGGAAGACAGACCAATGAGACCTGATGGACAGAGGTGTAGAGAAAGGGTAAAGCCTGAGAACAGAAGTATAGGGGCTACAGGAAAGGAAGTCAGAAAACAGCTTCCAGGCTGGTTGAGGGTTGGCCTGTGGACCCAGAAAGGAGCTGGGGAGTAAAGCACAGCAGACTTGCTATGTGCCACGCTCTGTGCTGCGTCGAGCTGTAGCCGAGAGCAAGACGGACAGTTCCCTGCCCTTGATCCACTTAAAATTGGAGGGGACAGGGAAAACAAGACTGCAAATCTGAAGGGCTTTCAAGGAAGCACTTTTTACCTAGCGGGGTTGGGAAGGCTAAGTTGACACCAGAAGGACAAGAGGGAGCCTGTGCAGAGCTGGGAGAGAACACTCTGGGCATAGGGTCAACATATGCAAAGACGCTGAGGCAAGAGCTTGGCATGGCATGTTCGACCTGAAGGCAGGCCAGTATAACTAGGGTGTAGTTAGTAAGGAGGAGAGTATCCTTGGAAGCCAGAACAAGTACAGCTTTCAAAGGCTGTGGTAAAGGTCACAGATTTTATTTTAGGACCAATGGCAAATTTTAGGCAACTTGAATTTTATGCTGGGACAGAACAGAGTGTAATAATGTGTAATAATGATTTCAGGAATAGAATTGTGATTCATCGCTTAACATATAACCCCTAGTGCTCATCCCAGCAAGTGCCCTCCTTAACGCCCATCGCCCATTTAGCCCAACCTCCCACCCAACACCCCACCAGCAATCCTCAGTTTGTTCTCTGTGTTTAAGAGTCTCTTAGGCTCCTGAAACTTCTCCTGGACCCATCTCTGCACTTTCTTGTAAAATCTAGTTTAATAAGAATTCTGCTAAGTCAGTTTAACCAGAACCTACCCCCCACCTCGATATCTGATCAGGTCCTTCATCCTCTACCAACCCCCAGGTGATGTCTGAGCACCCTGGCCTGTCTACAGCAGGGATCTTGTTAAGGTCCGTTTGGTCAGAAGCCATCCACCTATCCCCACCCTACTCCTTGGCTATAAATCCCCCCTTGCCGATGCCGTATTCTGAACTGAGCCCAGTTCTATGCCGAGGTCTCTTTCGCCCTAGTGCAGTAGTCCTGAATGAAATCTTAACTATTTTTACTATGTGGCTCTGGTTTTTCTTTGACAATGTAGTAGTGCTGAGCCTGGCTTTCTCTAAGAAGTATTAAACATGGTGATTTAGAGCCCAGCTGACCTGCTTGATTAGCTCTGTGCCCTTCTTTACCCCTCAGGGTCTTAGTTTCCCATCAGTAAAAATGGGGATAATACCTCCGAGAGCTTTAGAAGGATTAAATGAGGTCACAGCCAAAACACATACCACAGTGCCTGGCGCTTAGCATCGACTCCGTATTTGCTCTGGTCAGTGCAGATATCGGTATCACCGTTATTTCCCATGTGTCATTAGTAGGATCACAGAAAGCAGTTTGTACCAGGTCCACGTGTTTATTTGTCTGATTGTTTAATTCACTCGATTCCCCAGCTCGCATTTCCTGAGGGACCTGGAATCGTGAAACCACATAAGAGCGCTGCCCTGGAATGAGGAATCAGTTCCGGCTTTGCTCCCTCTGCGCGGGTGGGACCTGGCTGGGGCGCCTGACCTCTGTGAGGCCACCCCTCCCTGCCTTTCTCCAGAGGGCTGTGGGAGGGAGCAAATGCAGTAATGGATGGGAAACCTCTCTGTGAACTTTAAGTTAATACAAACATAAGGGATTATTATTAAAAGCGACAAGTCCCCCATTGATTAGAGCATTTCCTTAGGGGGAAAAAAATAACACTGGGTCTTAAGTAGGACCCCCACGGGAATGGGAAGCTCCCAGCCCCTCTGTGGGGAGGGGTAAAGTCTTTTAAGACACCATTAGTGTTGTGGTTAATGGTGATAAAGCACCGGAATTGTGGCCATCATGGTTTTTTCCTTTATAATTGTATTCGCCTTGAAAACCACAAGTAGCAGTGGGTCCCAGTGGTCATTATTTCATTTGAAAAACTTAATTGGAAGTTGGGAGAGTCCTCAGTGTTTGTTTCTGTCGGGGTGGAGGAAAGAGATGAGCAGGTGGGTCTGGGGGAAGGAGGGGGCCTCGGGGCTGGCCATGGTGAGCCCACCATTCAGCAGCTTCCTCCTTTGTTCTCCTTCCTTGGCAGGTTCTCGGCCTGCCCGCCTCTCTTGGTTGAAGTGGACTGCCAGCCCTCAATGGCCAGCCTTCTCCTCTGGAGGGGGCTTTTGTCCCCCATTGTTGGTATGGTCTCCTCGGCAGAGCCGCCACAGTGGTCCCCTGCAGAGCCTTTCCCACGCCTGACATTCTTTCTTGGAGGGTAAACTGGGGACTCCCAGGGAGAGCAGGTGGTCTAAACCCTGTGAAGAATCAAGCTGGCTTTACAGTTCTGGTGCAGGGAGACAGGAGACCTGCCTGCCAGGCCCCAGGTCGGTGCTGTGTGTCCCTGGCTGCAGAATGGGAGTAGGGATTGCTTGTCTCTGAGTCCCCATCGACTCCAAAATGCTGTGATTCTTCTTACACTTTTAATCAAAACAGACTTCCCATCACCCGGACTTTTCATAGTTGTTTTTTTTGTTTGTTTTTTTTTTTTTAATTACAGCAAAATACACAAATCTTAAGTGTACAGCTCAATGAATGTTTATATCTAACTACACTGGTGTAACCATTGCTCAAAGCAAAATATAGAACAATTTATCCCCCCAGGAAGTTGATGGATTCTAAGAGGCATGTGTAAGGTAGATGATACGCGGGGGTATCTGGCCCAGGTGAAATGGTTCATCAATAGAAAGAGCTGAGTAGTCACTGGCCTAGGTACCTGTGGTCAGTGGCTTCAGTTCTTTGCTTCCCTTTATAGCAAAACCTCAAAGTGTGCTGGGTGGCTCAGTCAGTTCAGTGTCTGACATTGGCTCAGGTAATGATCTCAAGGTTCATGGGTTTGAGCCCCACATTGGGCTCTGTGCTGACAACTCGGAGCCTGCTTTGGATTCTGTGTCTCCCTGGCTCTCTGCCCCTCCCCCATTCACACTGTCTCTCTCTCTCTCTCTCTCTCTCTCTCTCTCTCTGTCTCTTAAAAATGAATAAACATTAAAAAAAATTGTTTTTTAACTCAAAAGGATTAGCTCTACCAGCACTATTTCATAGAGATGTAATGCAAGCCACATGGGTGCTTTTTAAATTTTCTAGTAACCACCATAAAAATGTAAAAAAAAAAAAAGGGGGGGACACCTGGCTCATTTGGTGGAGCATGGGACTCCTGATCTCAGGGTTGTGAAGTTCAAGACCCACAGTGTGTGTAGATGTTACTTAAGTAAGTAACTAAATAAATAAAATATTTTAAAGAATAAGTTTCTTTAAAACATTTTTTTTAATGTTTATTTATTTTTGAGAGAAGGAAACAGAGCACCAGCAGGGGAGGGGCAGAGAGAGGGAGACACAGAATCTGAAGCGGGCTCCAGGCTCTGAGCTGTCAGCACAGAGCCCGACGCAGGGCTCGAACCCATGAACCATGAGATCATGACTTGAGCCGAAGTTGTACGTCCACTCAACCAACTGAGCCACCCTGGCTCCCCAGTTTCTTTTTTTTTTTTTTAAGAAAGATATTTTTTTAAAAAGTAAAAGAGAAACAGGTGAAATTAATTTTAATATCCTATTTAAACCAGTATATCTAAAATATTATTATATAACCAATATAAAAAAAAAACATGGTGGTATTTTGTATTCTTTTTTCATACTGTCTTTGAAATCAATGTCTATTTTACATTTACTGCACATTCCGGCTTGTACTAGACACATTTCAAGTGTTCAGTATCCACATGTGGCTAATGGCTACCATATTGGACAGCCAGGTCTATAACTACCAGCTCTGATTCCTCTCCTTCCATGCTCTTGCCTCGGGGCCTTTGTGTTGGGTTTTCACTCTGCTTGGAATGTTCTTTACCCAGATACTCACACAGCCAACCCCCCTCTCCTCCTTCAGGCCTTTACTCAAATGTCACCCCGTCACTGAGGCCCTCCCTGGCCACAGCACAGCACAAGTATGGATTCTAGGTACAAAAATGCCCTCCCACACTCTTCAACCCTTTAAATGTTTCTCCTTTGCAACTGCTGCCATCTAACATTTCTATATTTACTTGTTTTTATTATTCTTCCCCCTCATTAGAATATAAGGTCTTTGCCTGTTTGCTCACAGTTGTATTCCCAATGCCTAGAACAGGGCCTGGCACATAATGGGTACTGTATAAATATTTGCTGAATGAATAAATGATATTGCTCGTGGATGAACAAGCCACCAGTGGATGAAGGATGACTTTGGCCCAGAGTGGATGGGAATGATTAAGAGCCTGGTTCTGAACCAGCCCGCCTGGGTTTGAATCCCTGGACTCTCACTTGTCAGCAGTGACCTTGGCAGTTCAGTTACCCTTTCTGTGCCTCAGTGTTTTGTCTGTGAGATAAGGATACCGAGACCTCCCATTAGGCTGTGTGAGGAGCATATGAGATTCTATGCATGAAGCTTCCCGGCTACCACTCCGCGTACTTGGTAAACGTTAGCTATTTTTGTAGTATATCTTGTAATACCTCTTTGGGAAATGGAACTGTGTAAAACACATACAAAATTAGGCAGAAGATAAAAGGAAATTGAGATGCAGAACAGTATGGGGGAATTTTATTGTATCTGTGAAGGAAAAAGGTAGGTCAGAAATTAAATAGGAGTAACTGGATGCAGTTGTGTTTGGCTGCAGGTGGCATGAGACACAGGTGGAATCCTCATCCTTGGCAATTCCTGTTTCGGAAAGAAAGATAAAGCTCAGCTAGGGAGACCGAAGCAAGGGTGAGTTTGGGCAAGACACCCGGAACTAGGGTGACAGGTGCTCCAATGTCAGGCCTAGCTGTCTGGGTTCCAGAAGAGGGACTATGGGAGGAAGGGAAGGATCTCACGGGTTGCAGCACAGCGAACATCAGTCTCAGCCCCAGCTCTGCTCACCTATTCCCACGGAGATCCTGGGCCAGTTACTTCCTCTTGAAGTAGCCACCTCTAATCCCCAGACAGGGTTAGATTAGGTTATTCCTTCCGGCACGTACGTTCAACCACACCCCTTACATCTCTTACGACTTATCACAGATTAAATAATCCACTGTTCGGGGACTTGCTTAATTTCTGTCTGCCTCAGTGCGTCAGTGAATTCCATGGGAGCAAGGACCACTGTTGTCCTATTCACTGCTGTGACCCTCAGTCCAGGGCCTGGCACGTCGTAGTCAGGGGATGATATTCCAGAGAGAGGAGGACAGGTAATTCTGAATCTCGGTTTCCTCACAGGGCCATTAGGTGGACATAAAGTGTGGTGGGTGCACAGATGTGCCGTCTTCCAGATCATTCTACTCTAAGCTCTAAGAATTCATTCTTCTGTTATGTGTCCTCAGGCCCACCAGGAGATCCTAGGATTTGCAACCCTTAAGCTGGAGGGGGAACAATGTTTGGAGCAGCCTCCAGGCCCCTTCCTGCCTGCTCTGTGACCTTGAGCTCTGCAGCTGTCTCCGGCTTTTAACCTGCAGGAACACAGCCTGTGTTCTTAGCACTTGGCCCTCCTTGGGGCCACTACACCCTAGCCCACCAGGGCCTGGCGGGAGCCCTAAAGCAGGTGAATGATGACCTAATCCCAGCGTGGGCTCCTCGGGGGAGGCATTATTTTTAGAATTCTAGTCTTAGGATCCTTAGGGGTGATTGGAGCCCCTCCTCCCTTCACAAAGGAGGAGACAAGGAAGGCAACTTGCTGTGTGTGCCTCCCAGGCTGGCTCTCGCCCCTCCTGCAGCCTGCCCATCTGCCTGCCGCTCGTGTCTCCACAGGACTGTGGTTGGTGAGATCTCTGGGCTCTTGGTGTCTAATTAGGTTGGGAGGAAGGTGCCGGAGCACATGGAGAGCTCTGCTGGGAATGGATTTGCTTAATAGGCTCATCCAGAGGTGACTGGCAGAGCCCTGCTGGGACATGTTTGTGCTCACAGTTAAAATCAGGCTCAAAAATACAGCAGTTTCTCCACAAACAGTCCGTCATCCCTGGGGAGCTGTGTCTGTGAAGTGGAACTCCGTGTGAAGAAGGGAAGAAAACAGGTCTTGGGTCTGGCTTTCCAGTCCCTGACTTGGGGCCAGCTGCTGCCCCTCTTTCCTTCAGTTTCCCTCCTCTCTAAGCCGAGAGCACTCCCTGATCTTCCCTGATACCCAGGGGAACATGAGGGGCCATGAGAGGAGGGGTGACTGTCCTTCCCAACTTTCCTGGTCGTGAGTGCTGCCCACGCTAGTCTGCCCGAGGGTGTTGGGAGGGGCTGGCCTTTCCTTGGCCTTGTAGTTTTGGAAACTTGCCAATGGACCCAGGATGTGCCTGTCACATCGTCTGCATCAGAATCCCCTGGACATTTTTTAAAATTCAGGTGCCTGGTTCCTATCCCAGAACTACTGAGTAGGTAACATTTTTGTACACAGACGCTGAGCCTGGCCTCTTGCTTCTCACTGGAGATACAGCAGTAGATAAGATCTGGTCTCTATTATGCATTTGCTCCCCTTCTTCCAGTTCTTCATGTGTGTAGGAAGGAACCTTGTTCCTTGGCAGGAACCCATGTCTTTGGAGAGGAGGAGATTCTTTCCTTTTCCTGGCAACCCATGCGGAAGGAAGCCTGCAAGGTCCCTAACTACACACACACACGCGTGTGCATGCCCACACATATTCCTACCTGTGCTTCTGCAGCAGGGCCACCAGGATGCTCTCCAACGCCATCTGCTTTTGACCTGCCCACACGCTGTCCACCTGACGGCCAAGCCGTACCTTTGCTCCTTGCTCCTGGTTTCTCTCTCTGTTAGATTAGAAAAAGAGCAGCAGTGGAGGTGACTATTTGGATAGGATGTGGAGAAGCCTGGGAAAGGCCAGGGCCAAGTAAGCAGAACAGGTATGTCCTTATACCTATTCCAATATCTGGTGTGGACTCTTTCACCCAATCGAACTAGATTCAGCAACACTTAGGAAGGTGCTCGATATAGTAGTGAAGAGCATAGGCTGCGAAATAGATTTACAAAATACCTCCCCACAGATTACTTGTTAATGATAAAGGAGAAATGTTAACTGGACAGAGGAGAAACGTGGCAGACATCACGTTAACCAGGCGATTAAAGTTACCATCACCAATAAGGGGATGAATTGACATCATGTGCCTCCTGATGTAATGCACCAAGAAGGAACAATATCACTGCTATGAATGCATAACCTGAATCTAATCATGAGGAAGCATCAGGCAAATCCAGTATGAGGAACGTAGGGACGTTCTATAAATAATAATTGAACTTTACTGGTAAAAAATGTCAATGTCACGAAAGACCGAAGAGCAGTTCCAGATTAAAAGAAACTAAAGAGACATGGCAATTAAATGCAATCCATGACCCTGGCTTGGATCCTGGATCAGGAAAATGAAAAATTGCCATAAAGGACATGTTGGGAAAACTGATGAAAGGTGAATGTATACACTAAGTGATAATTACACTGTGATTATATCAGAGAATGTCCTGTTGTTAGCTGTTTGGAGACACCGTGCAGAGCTACTTAAGGGTAAATGGTTGTGATGACCGCAGTTTACTCTCATATGGTTCAACAAAGTAATGACAAAGTGCACATGTGTTTGTGTGTGTATATAAGCAAATATGACAAAATATTAGCAATTGCTGAAGATAGGGAAAGGCGATGTGGAATTCCATTATATTATTGTTGCAGCCAAACTTTTTCAAAATAAAAAATATACAGGCTGTGATGTCAGGCTCTTTGGATGCTAGCTGTCTGGTATGCGTCCTTTAGAAGCTATGAACTGCCCCGTAAGATGGGAGTAAACAGTACCTACTTTGTAGGGTTGTTACAGGCAAGAAGCCAAGAGTAATGGCTAATACTACCAAGGGCTTCCTGTGAGCCCAGCACTGTCCTGAATGTATGGAAATGTCTGAGGGCACAGCCTCTGTGTCCAGCACAGAATCATGATCAGATGGTAACTATCATTGGTATCATTCCTGTTGGAGCCTAACATGGGGAGAAGCACATCGTTGGTGTTCAACAATCATAGCATAATTAGAGGTAAGCTGGGGCTTCGCGTTAGGGCCTTTCTGCTATGGCAAATCCAGAAATAATAGATGCTGTGCCAGGCAAGGGACCAAAAGTCCCTCCAAACTCTGATGCTTGGAAGACTGGGAAAAAACCCACTAGACCTGCTTACCCCTGCTGCCTGCTCATGATGTCCTGCAGTAGCTTGCGGGCAGACAGCTGACCCAGCACCTTCCGGTAGCTGTTGGTGAAGATGGCATCTGCATACCGAGGCATTCTATATGGAAGGAGTCAGACGTCAAAGGGCTGGGTGGCAGGGCCAGGTGAGGAAACGGGGGTGGGGTGAGGGGTACTCACCATGTCCCCGTAACGTCCTTCTGCCCTTTGCCCTACTGATCCCCGGAGAAGGTAGGACCCAGGGCTGGGAGGCTTCTCTGGAACTCAGGATCTGCCCCCCTCCCAAAGATAGGCAGTGGGGGCTGCCTGAGGAGGTGGCTGGGGCCTGCTTAGGGCTCTGTTCTGCACGCCCTAAATCATCCCCCACTGGGCTGCAGGGATGGTTCTGGGACATTGGGTATCTAGGCCCTAGAGGCGGGACTGCTCACCTGAGGGGCAGGGATGGCGGGGAGCCGTGGGAGCCACTGTCGAGGGTGAGGATCACCAGGAAGAACACCCAGAGCAGCATCCTTCACCCCTCCGGTGACTCCTGGAGAACGACAGAAGGAGAAGGTCAACTGCAGCCATAGCCACAAGGATGCCTTTTATTGGCTGGGCCCAGTTCTGGGCTTGGCTGTATACAAGCCTTAGTCCTCGTCATTTAGAGGCAGTGAGGTACGAAAAAGAACCCGGACTCTGGAAGTCAAACAGACCTAGGTTCAAGTCCTGCTTTTGCCAGTCACAAGCTTTGACCTCATTTTCTGCATCTATAAAATGGGCCTGATAAGCTACCCTGCTGACCCCATAGGGTTGCATGGAAAATTAATGACATGGGTGAAAATGCCCCTTGCTGTAAGGCATCATATGTGGAATTCAGGCCTCAGCAAGGGTTGGGGGCTACACCTTCTCCTAGTCTCCTAAGTCACCCCACCCACTGTGACACTTGACAACAGAGAGCAGGGCCAATAGCTCAGGCTCTGAGTCAGACAAATCTCAGTTCCTATCTGGGCTCCACCATCACCAGCTGTGTGTCCCAGGACATGTGGCTTCTCCTTTCTGGGCCTCAGTTTCCCTATCCATGAAATGGGGTCTATGACGATACTGACTGCATAGGGCCCTTGTGAGGATGAGATGAGATGAGAGTTGCTTGGCACATAAGGAATTCTCCCAAACGCTTTTGCTGCGACGACCTCAGATCAGACCCACTCGAGGGGGCAGGCTCTCATCCTGTTTGGTTCTGTGTGAAGTCAGAGGGAAGGGAAAGCTCTACTTCTCGCTCCAGACATTTCGATTTCGCTGAAGGCTTTTAGCCTTGGAAGAGACCAGGGAGCCTGGGGAGCCAGTGTGGCAGAATCATCTAATAGATCATGTAATTACCCTTAATTGGGGCCTGCTGACACCGTGCTCTGCGATCAGGGAAAGAACAGGCAACGTGAGAAAGAGCCCGCCTGGGCTCGGGGAGGAGGCTCCACCGTCAACCCAGACCTGCCCAGTGTGGAAGCAGGGGGCTCAGCTAGGAGACCTAGGAATTGGGTCTCCCCACCTCTCATGCCCCCCTCAGTAGAATATCCATTCCATGGGGCTACAGGCCCATGTGGGGACCCAGCCAGCCCAGAGAGGGGCAGGAACCCATCTAGCCCAACCTCACCCCCTGTCTTCCGTGTTCTCTCCTGTCCTGTTGAAGAGTGATCTCCAGCAAGCAGGGCCGGCACTGGCAGAATCCACCTTCCTTTTCTGGTCTCGCCCGCCCTCTTAGGGCATCCCCTTCCTTCTACCAGACACCAGGGTCTTGACTAAGCCAGGGAGCACCTGCAGAGCTGGGCTCAGAGCAACCTTTGACTCTGCACCTCCAGAGCAGAAGGGAGGAGCCCTCCAGGCCTCACTGTCTCCCCAACAATCCTCCAGTTCCTGCTCAAATGCTCTCTGCCAGCGAGTGGCAGAGAGCTCACTACCCCCGAGCCAGGACGTGCTATCTCCAGGCAGCTCTTCTTGTTAGGAATTTTTTCCCATTGTGTCAAGTGCAAAAAGACGTGTTAAGCTTCTACTCTTCTGGGAAGGACTGGGGCTGGAGGAAAGATGAGAACATGGCATTTGCCTGCCCCTCCCTCTCCCCGGCTTTGACATCCACCCTCTGTGCCACCCACAGCTTCTGCACCCTCATCCACATGAGGTGGATCTGACTTAGGCCTTTGCTCTCCAGACCAAGGATCTCAGTCTTCTGTCCTCTTCATCACACCATATCACATCTGGCCCCCCGTCTCCCGGCCCGGTTCCAGGCTGCCTCTCTAGCAATGGAGTTTCCTAAGCAGGGAGTTCTTTGGAGGTAAGGAGGTCCCCTTGTAACGAGCCCTCTTTTTTTCTGTCTCTTGGCTGGACTTCCTTGCCTTCTTTGCTGCTGATCTTTAAAAAAATTCTTTTAAATGTTTATTTATTTATTTTGGGAGAGAGAGATAGAGAGCGAGCAGGGGAGGGGCAGAGACAGAGGGAGACAGACTCCTTAGCAGACTCCACACCAGCAGCGCAGAGCCCGACACGGGGTTCGAACCCCCCAACCGTGACATCATGACCTGAGATGAAACCAAGAGTCAGACGTTCAACTGACTGAGCCACCCAGGTGCCCGCTGCGGATATTTGAAAAACCTGGGCACGTCCAGGCCCCTAATCACTTCATTCCCCTGCTCAGAGGCCCTTGGTTGCTCTCCAGAGCAAAGCCCAACCCCCTGCTCTTGGGCTAAGCTCTCCCTTGGCTTCCCCACCTCCCGCCCCTTCTCGTGTGTTTCGCAGCCCCTGTGCTCCCCTGGCCTGCACAGCCCACCCTCACACTCGCCCTCTGGAGCAGGTATCAGGGTCTTCATCTTACAGCTGAGGAAACGAGCCCAGAGAGGAGAAGGACCTTTTCTCCATGGTCCTCCATCACATTGGTTTCTGACTGGACACTTCAGAATGGGCCTCAAAGTTCCCAGGCCAGCAGGCCCCTCCCACTCCGTGGAGGCTGCCTCCCAGATACAATACCCTATTCACAGCTCCCTATTCAGCTCCCCGTTCATGGGAGGTGCTGCAGGATTCATCACCTGCACATGGGAAGCCGTTCTGAAAAACAGAAAGCTTTTGCTCTTTGTCACTGGATCTCCAGGGAAATTAAAAAAAAAAAAAGGGACACACACAGGAACAACACCTGCCTGCTTGGCACCTTCCTATGTGCAGCCAGTGGTTTCAGGGAGTTGAAAATAACCTGATACGAGGGCAGACTTTGGAGGGCAAGTCACAGTAAATTCTGTAACCCCTAGCTTATTTGGAACGAGGTTGAGCAACTGTATAGTCTGGTCAACCAAGAGGCACATTTACTACAAACCGTGTGCCCCAGGGGTGAGTCAAGACACCATCGCAACCTCTAGGCTTGGGGTTGCAGCCTCTGATCCTTGGGGTTGCAAAATTCCACTGGACAAAGTTGGGAAACGACAAGAATTCTCTTGCTTACGGTCCGATGAGAATTAGATGTTGTATCACCACGGATAAAGTAGCTATTGACAGACGTATTCCACGCGAGCAATCTACAGAGACAGAATTCCACTGAATTAAGTGTAGTACAAATTCAACAGCATCCTCAACAACTCCTTGATAGCTCCAAAGGTATTTTAAGGTTTATCATCTATCCTCATGAGTATCAGTTAGCTTTCTGCAGTGTTGACAAGTGAATTCTGCGGTTAGATCTAATTGAGGTCATCAGGATTCAGGATAAATGGACACTTGACCTACATTAGTCGGCACCTCTTGCCAGCCTCTATGCCAAGAATGCTATGAGAATTCTCCAGATGCACCTTTTGCTAATGACAGAGGTCAGGTCTCATGTGCCCAACCTAGCAAGGCCACTTTTGGACAACTAGGAAGAAAATCTTTTACCTTTCTTTTTTATTTTATTTATTTACTTTGAGAGAGAGAGAAAGTGCGAGCAGGGAAGGGGCAGAGAGAGAAAGGGAGAGAGAGAATCTCAAGCAGGTCCTGTACTGACAGCGCAGGGATCGATTTGGGGCTCAAACTACATGGACCGTGAGATCATGACCTGAGCCAAAACCAAGAGTCAGATGCTTAACCAACAGAGCCACCCAGGCGGTTCTCGTTTACCTTTCTCAAACATTCTGCTTTGTAATTTAAGAACGCTGAGGCACTGACGTCCTGATTTAGTTTATAAACTGTTTCAGCAATAGCATTCCAAATTGAAAGAGATCTAAGTTTTTAATGAGGAAGCATCTTGAATTGTCACTCAAAAGAGAGACACTCCACCTCCTTCCTGGAAGAGTTTGAGGCGGCTTATGGTGAAAGACACAAATACTATGAGACCATCAAAACATGGATCAAGAAACAAGCGTGGGGGTGATGGAGTGCTCCAGGGGCAGATAATTGTGTCTGAAACCTCGAGTAAGGAGCGCAGCAGCAATTGAGCAAGAAAGCAAAATGTTATCAATTTCCAGGCAATAATGTTGAATGGGTTCAGAGCGATAGATGGGATGTATTGATTTGCACAGCCCACTTGGCTCCTTTCCGATCCATGGCAGACCCCCATTGTTGATGGGAGAATCTAGCCAGCTTGTGTCTTGCCCCAGACACCTGCCTGCACACCGGAGAAGGAGTGCTGAGATTTCATCTGCCCCCCGACAAACCCCTGGAACACATCCGTCTGCCTGCCCCTTCTCCATGGTTGAGTGCCATGTATCCAAAACAACCTCAACATGGAGCCAACCATCACAAGCGTGTTCCAGAGCCCCTAACCAGGTACCTGAGTGTACTCACTAGTCCACAGGCGACGAGGATGATGGTGGGCCTCTTTGACTCGGTGTCTCTGAGTTGGTGAGAAGGTCAACCGTCTTGCCCCCATCCAGCCCAGCCCCCAGGACCACCCCCTCTCACCTCCGATATGGCAGGTGTCCCCTCTGCTATGAGGCGCTGCTCCTGCTGCCTGGACCTGGGGCTCAGCGTTTGTTCGGTGACTGCGTGACGCTTCCATCATTTATACCTTCATTTTCCTAAGCGTCGCCAGCGTCAGAGAATCAATTACCCACAAGTCAACCAAAGGACCGTTTTTAGCATCATACTGACAAACCATAATAGGGGAAAGAGGTTTTTCCCCTTGCAGATGAAGACCTGAATGGAACTTTCCCTTTACGGACAGAACGCAAAGTTATGATATTATTCCGAGGGGCATAGAGAATATAATACTGCTTCTCTAATAATTGGAGTAATCATAACAGTGAAACAACAAAGGTTCATTTACTCTCTGAGTTAAATGTGCGTTTTAAAAAGTTGATATAATTTTTTTTTGTCCGTGTGCAACTTTATCTCACTTTCAGGTAGTCCACTTATTACAGATAAGTGTTTGTCTCTCCTTAGCGCAGCATCCAATTATCAAGATTTCCCCCTATTCGATTTACATCTGCTGCAGTCATAGGCCACTGTAGGCAGCTAGCCCAGGGAGCACCTGTTCTCATGTGTCAAGGCAGCCAAACATGGAAGGAGATGGAAAACCTTGGGAGG